TTATCAAAAGTTTAAGTGGTTAGCCCATATAGCTACTTCAAAAAATATAAAATGTACAATTTTATGCTCTTAGAGTTTCTTAAGAAATACAACTTTGATGACTTAGACCTCTATTGGGAATATCCCGGTGTAATTGACTGAGATGGAGCTAATATTCGTACAAACTAAGATTTAAGTTTCAAAATCAAAATACTTCATGGAAATCAACTATAATGGCAGTGCCATTAGCAAAATTCCGATTAATGGAAGGTTATTACTGTCTTATATTAATGTTGGTAAGCTATTCTTTGTACAATAGATAGTTATTACTATTAACTTAAATACCCATCATCTATATTGAATAATAATTATAACAGAACACTGATAATTATGAAAAGTAATTAAACGTGTTTAAAATCATTGAATATAAAAAATAGTAGAAAAAAAAATGAAAAAAAATCTTTACCATAATATCTAATAAATTCAATCATTTACAGTGTGCAAACATTTATTTAGTATTGTATCCATGGTGGAACATGAGAATATTTTATAGATAGTTGTGTAGTATCGTATTTCTAATAGCTTAACCTATGCTATTTAGCTGTAATAGTACACACGTAAATATACGTAATGGCTTATGATTTATGGGAAATTGGGTTGAGTTTGCGGATATTAATATATTACCTATGGGTAGGTCATCTACTAGTTTGGTAACTACATACTAACTAAGCATATTATATCATTTTTAGAAAATATTATGAAGGGGAACTTTGGAAGTTTGGTAGTCCTAAAACATTTGGATTACTTGACAATATACAGACTTACTACTAATATGCATCTCTTCGGGGATGAGGGTAAGTAACAACTTGTAATGTAAGCTGTATGCTACCTCAACCTGCTGTAACTCTCCCCAAATTTTTTTTCTAATTGAAACGATTTGTTTTACAATGATAAATTTTTTTTTGTACTCGTCATCACATAATAATGATTAAATCTTAAAACTTAAAACTTAAAGAGGGTTTTTGGTAGCAAATCGAAACTAAAATTGCTACTTGACTGAATAACCATATATATTTTATATAATATATACTCGAAATACTTTCATCACCATTTTCAAGAGATAATAACATTTAAAAAATATTTTGGCTTCTTTTGAGCAATTTATAAATATTTGAAATAAAATATTATTTACTTTTACTAGTTTTTAAGGTTCCTTCTATAAGAAGAGAAATTAATGCTTAGATCATAAAATACCTACTGTACTATATGATCTCAGGATGTAGGTATCAGGGCATGGCCCCCTTGCAACCTATCATGTCTAAGTGACTACGTCACTGCGTACACACTGCATGATAATACTAGTTTATCATAATTCATAATAGGTTTTGCTAGATATCAATATTACCAACAATATTATACAATTTATAACTTGCTTAATTCCGTCGAACGATGAACTTGTTAGCCGTTAGGTATTTCACTAGTATACTTGTATAGTTGTATCAGATACCAAGTCATAATATAGATACAAACAATAATAACAATTCTACGACTAACAACTTGATTAAGTAATTTGTTTAATTCAGTTGTACTTTAACGGTTGAAATTATTGCGTAGGTATGATCTAGGCCCTAAAGGTAGTGGGCTGCCTAGCAATATTTTATACAGATATCTTCATCCAGTCCACAATCGAATTTGATTAGAATGTCACACGGTTCAAGAACCTAACCCCCTAGGAAAAACCGATTCTTAAGATCCTTCCATAATTCCCTTTTTCATAATCACGATCATAGTATAATAATATTAGGTATACAAATAAATCATAATGTTATAATATCGATTTGTCGTCATAAGACCTTTGGCTCATTTCACAAGGAAAAGTGGCCGTCGGAAAAACAAACAGGGCACATGACGACGACAGAGCTAGGTATCGATCGTTATATTTATTCGAACAGACTTATAACTACCGCAGAGTCAATTTTCTAAGAACGGGAGTGGCGGTCGTCGACTCCTCGTCGTACACGGTGCACTGACGGCCCGTGCCCCGTGGGCGAGTAGTTATTACTCGTTTTACGCCGACAGAGTTCGCACAAGTAGTCTATTATCTTAGAAAAAACCAATAGCCTTAAAATTGATAATGATAACGAAATATGCCGTCGATTTTGTGTCGGCCATCCGGTTCTCGAGTTTTTGTAAAATCTATATGCCTACTTAGGTGAGCGGTGAACCGTAATTTACATTTTGTGGAACTCGCTAAACTTCAATGTGTGCCGAATGCCGGAAACACCAAAGAAATTGAAAGTAGTGGTCAAAGGTAAAGAACAACACCAATCGCCAAAATGTCGTGGCTGTAAATAATTTTGATTTTTAATACCTTCGTCTGTGTGCCTATATAGTTTATGTAACCATGTGTAGATTGTAGTAGACTACCGTATAGGAAAATAGACTTGACAATTTTATTTCGCTGAACGTGTGTGAATTATCCAGTGGCCGACTTTATATGGCCACAATTCTTGATTTGGGATGAACAATTTCAATTTCCGAGATCTCTAGCATGTGTGTACCGAAGCTCTTCAAACCCTCGAAAGGATCTGTCAGATATTTTTAATAGGCTAGATAGATCGTTTTCATGATTATAATTTATAAAAGGTTTTAAATTAAAAACATTTCACAGTACCTAATTGTTCAACATACTTCTTAATTAAAATGTAATATTTTTTACTTTATCATTACTACAATACCTATGGTAACTTTAAAACAAGGTTTGGCTGTCAAGTTGAAAGATGTTCAAGACTTTATAATAATGAATCAATTTCATGACATAATTATAAAGAAACTAAACAAACTTTGGTGTTAGTTTAATTGAATTTTATTTACCTGTCAGAACTGAATTTAATCAATACTAATTTTAACACATTTAGATTTTATTTGAAAAAATACCATTGATTTATTTTTTGTCTTAAATTAGTTTAAAGTGTATGTTGTTCATCATTAGTACTCAAGTTAAGACTATTTAACTGTTTTGTATTATGCTTTAGACGTGCTCGGCGTTGCACAATGGCGCTGGGTAGCCAATGACGACACCTGTGGTATTTGTCGAGTGGCGTTTGAAGCTTGCTGTCCTGACTGCAAGTTTGCCGGTGACGATTGTCCTTTAGGTAGACTAATAAATTAATAATAATCTAACCAAGTTCATGTTCATACTAATTCAATTGATATTATTTTCTTTCAGTGTGGGGTCAGTGTTCACATTGTTTCCACATTCATTGCATAATGAAATGGCTCAACGCCCAGTCCGTACACCATCAGTGCCCGATGTGTCGCCAGGAGTGGAAGTTTCGAGAGTAGACTCAGATTTATTGTCACCTTTATCATTGTCTTACGATTCTGAACTACCACCTCTACCTGAAAGCCTCAGTCGTTTAAGCCTGTATGATGTACCGCCACGTACTAAACCTGAACCTGCTCGGCGTCATTCACCTAAACCAACAGAACTTGTTGGCTCACCTAAACAAACACGTCAGTCGCCAGTACCATCAGAACATTCTGATAAACGCCCAACTGAAAAACCGCCAGTTCCACCCAGGAAACCGTCATCTGTTGACCTAAAACTTGCACATCTCCGAAATGAAATGGTACATAGTAGTAATATTGAATTTACTCAGTTTTATATATTGTTATTATTTATATGTTTAAGGCAAGCCTACGTCAAATGGATTTACAACTCCTGTCCCAGTTACGGCAGCTCAATGATTCTATTAGTTCATATAGACAAGAATTGATCATGAATATGGACTCATATTCATCATCGGACACTGATGGGTCAGATACTACATCGGTTTATTCAAATGTAACTCCCAGCAGTTTCGATTTATCTCGTTCCTCAACACAGTCAACTCCCAAACGTCCGCCGACATCTACAGATTTATGAAAATATGGTATTAAACACAAACTGGGCTGTCTTTTTATAAATATTTTTTACTAATAATTATTATACAACTAATTTGTATTATATTATGTAATTACAATTTAAGACAATAAAATTTACTTACTTTCCTGAAATTGTTAAACTTTAACTAAATATTTCCTGCCAATACTTACTAGTCATGATGTTTGACTATTTTATAAAATTGAAAGTTAATACATTTTTTAAAGATTGAAGTATTTGATAAGTTTGTACTGGTAAGTGTTGGGAATTTAAATTCGTAATTAGTTTAAATTTAAAATTACAAAATGGAGAATGACTTTAATATTTGCTTGATAACTCAGAGGAACAATGCCATATTCTATGAATTTCAAGTCTAAAACAATGTATTTTTTTAATTCATAATTTGTAATATCTATAGATAACAAATTTCAATTACAGTTGAATTTACTAAATAAATTACGAATAAAATTGTTTCAAGTACCTATAAAGTAAAAAATAACCTTCGCCAAAGAGCCATTACAAAACAAATTCATTAATCACCCACTCATAGATAATTAGCACCTTTTGGATTGATGACGTACATGTCATGTAATCTAGTGGAGAGGGGAATTGCTTTTATAAATGTTTTAAATGTGTACAGAGAATTATTTATAGAAGATAATAATATATCCCTTTACTTCTGATATTATGAATAGTTGTCTTTAACAGACTTAATCATAAATCAAAAAGTATAAATATAAAAAAAATTGTCATTGAAGGTATGTTAACAAAGTATGTGAATTTTGTTAAATGGACAATTACAATGAACAAAATAATTAAAAATGTGCAAAGAATATAAGTATCAACTGTTTTAAAATGGCACGTTTTCATTAATTTTTTTTATTATGACTAATTAGGATTAATACATTATAAGAAATGTCTCATAATATTATTAAGTATAAACAATTACATAATATAACTATTAAACTATATGAGTAACAACTGTTCATTTCTAGTAGGATCAAAATTCTAAACAATTTTTTTTAGTTTCTAAGTTGCTAAGATTTCATAACTTCACACCACATAAGTGAACGAATACACATTAAAAACAAATATATAATATTAACCAAAACCTTAATTTTATTCAGGCCAAAATTTGTATTTACAAAAGAATAAAAACAATGATTTATATAAAATTAATTTTAATTTATTACTGTTTGTGAGTTTAAAACATAAATAAAGTAAACTTAAGTGCTTAAAAATAATTGCCTTACATTGCATCTAACACAAAATATTATATATTCAAGTATCTAATCACATAGATACCTACTGTGTACACATATAATAACTTAATAAACAAAAATTATATTTCAATACATACAATTCATTACCCGGGTAAGTATTTGTTTGTGTTATATTTGGCAATGTTGTAGGTATATGTATAAGTTCATATATATTTTTTTAATAGATTAATTAAATACAAGAGTTAAACAATTTAGGACCATACCTTTAAGACTATAAACTGGTATTTTTAAGGATGACAATAATATAAATATACCTTGTAGAATAATATTGTAAATAGAGTAGAAAATTCCAAGAAATTCAATTATTTTTTTGATTTTTATCTAAAAACAATATTAAAAATTGTACTAGTCAGTCAAACTTAAATGCATTTTTTTTTAAAATCTAGCAGATAAATTAATATGATCTTATTTACTTGGTGAGTACATAAGCCATTTATAAATTATAATACTATGTTCATACAAAAAAAAACAATTTTTTTTCTTAAATCACAGAACACTTAAAAATTAAGAAAAAATATTAGATTAAATTTAATATGGTTAGTTTTTAATTTATAAAAGGGATATACTATTTAGTCTTTATGCATGCATACAATTAAACCTATTCTTAAGTAATTCAAATTAAATTTGTTTAAATATTAAATGTATTTTTTTAAAACAAAAAGGCAAACATTCAAACCTTTAAGTGAAACACATTTAAAATAAAAACAAAGAATTACTTTAGACCACAATTAAAATACTATAAACACAAATGATTGAATATAAATAGTATATACTAAAATACAATTTGAATATTTATTTTATTTTATATTGAAGAACCGGAACCAAATAAAATAAAACAATAATAATAAATAAACATAAAAATTCAAGCAATATTTCTCATACATTTGGTATGTGTATCCAACTGGCATCCTATATCTCTAAATCTAATAAAACATATTGTGTTAGACAAATTCCACCAACATGCACTTAAAAAAAATTAATTAATAATGACAATGAATAAATCACATATTATTAATTTTGGGGCACCGCGGGAGCCATCCGACTAATGGTAGCAATACCCGATAAAATAGCAGATCGCAAAAAAGATGGTGTGCCTGATTTGTTTGCAAAATTTTCAGCTGCTACACGAAGGTCAGAAAACATGAGTCTTGTGTGTGGATTACGCTGTGAAGCATATCGTAATGTAAGGAAATGATAGTAGAACACAATAGACAATAATCCAGAGCGACCGAAGAATGACATGAATAATGTGAGTGGCATAACTAAGATTTCAGAGAAGGCAATGAGGCGCAAGATACTTCGTGATTGGAACTCAACCAAAGATATCAATAGACGAGCACCCCACCATGCGTTCTGACCAAGAAGCTGAAAAATAAATTTTACATGTATAATAGTTTATACCTACAATAGATTAAATATTGAAACAATATTACACTTACATCAAGTAAAGTCAGGGAATAGCTTGCAAAGTGCACAGTTGAAAATAAAAATACTGGCAGGATTACAACTGAAATCAATCTATGTTAAGGAAAACATCAAATTGCAACTAAAAATATTATATACATTTAATAGATTTTAAAAATGAGTTGAATATTTAAAGGATACGGATATTAGGCGACACATATAAAAATATCACCGAATACAATAGGTAATGACAGCTGTCTTCTTTGAATAATTGTGTCAGGAACTGTAAAGAAATTTGCATGGCTGGCAAACGTTGGTGGAGACGCAATGCACTTGTAGCTGCATTTGCCAATAAAATTCTATAATATGCACTTGCTGGGTTCCTGAAAATTACAAATTTACACAAATCTATTTAATTGTATGTAGAATAAATTAATAAAAATTTTTCTTTTTCATATCAACTCATATTGGCTGTTACCTACCTATCACATTCAAATCAATCTTTCATAAAAATGTAATTACTTTTGTTAAAATTATCAAAGACAGTTTTATAATATTATGATTTATAAGTGGGATGAATAGAGTTAGTGCAAGTGCAACCCCTTGCCAACCTTTTAAACATTTTTTTAAATGCTTAAAATAGATATACATTATATAAATAAATACATTAATTAAAATTAATAAATTGATGAAAACAATTATAAATTTACAAATATTAATAGATAATACATTACATTTTGTAAGTTCATTGTTAATTTTTGTTTTAATAGGACCTATTAAATCACAGAACACTTAAAAATTAAGAAAAAAATATTAGATTAAATTTAATATTTACAACTAGGTAGGTACCTAAGTAGCATGTATTATTCACTAAATATAGGTAAAATAATAACATTTTAGAATAAGTAATTAAATTTGAGGTCACATTATGATGGCCTTGTACAATGCTATGACATGTTCAGCAAGACAAGATATCTAATTAACATGATCAATATTTGTCTAAGTTTTATATTTTTAAGCTTTACTTAAAAAATATACTTTAGCTTACAAAAAAGTTTATTTTGATCCCAAAATAGTAGCCTATATTAAAATGTAAAATTTGAATTGGAAAAAAATGGAAAAATACACATTTTTATAAGTTAGGCATGATAATGTAAATTAACAGTTTATAAAATATATACTGTGGATTATAATAAAGTATCAAGTATAAAAAAAGTATACTTATGTTATCACCAATTGTATTCCTAAATAAAATATTAATTTAATGAAAACTGAGATTAGGATTGCTTGATATTAATAGCCTTATACAATTGATGCAATTTAAGTATTACATACCAATTATGTTTTAACTATATATTGTGTACTGTATTGCTGTTCAATGTCAAAAGCAAATTTAATTTAAAAATGTCACTTTAATAGCCTAAGTTGATTTAAGGAGAGATATAAGTGAGTTATAACCTGAGTTCCTCTGATTTATGATTATATACTATTTTAAATATATATTTCTTAAATAATAGTTTATTTAAAGATGCAACATCTATTAATCTCTAACAATACCTAATTAAAATATTTCATATTATTTATATACAAATTATATATATGTATAAATTTTATCATTTTGTGGTTTTTTTTTCATTCTCAAATCTACTGTCGGATTTGGCATGCACAATCCTATTGTATAATTATGTAATAATTGTACTATGATTTAGGATTAATAAACAATAAATCACTATAGTGATGTTTCATAGCTTTACATCCGGACACATATTTAAACCAAATATTACAAGGCACAGTGAACATTTGATTAGTTTGTGAAATTGAAATAAAATCTATTACCAAAAGTATTAAAAATAGGCATAAGTTTTTATAATTTTAATTAAAATATTAGAAGACGAGTGATTTTTATCAATCAAAATAGTACCTAATATAGAAGATGATAATCTGATTAAGAATGATAATAATAGAAAGTTATTTTTTTAGTAGATAGTTAGGCAGTATATTTTCTGACCTAAATAATGTGAATTTTAAGAGACTTGTATTTTATCACAAAACCAGATAGCAAGGTTAGTGAGTACTTAAAAAATGGAAAAAAAAATTGATCTTACCAGAAAAGTGGTAGAATGTATGCAAACGTAAAAACAATTGTAGCCAATCGCGTACACCAAAGAGATACTTCTACTTTATGTGAAATAACATGTTGTTTAAGAGCTTCAACACCCTTTGGTCTAGTTTCACTATCCGTTCCGGCTTCGCCTTCAGACATGGTTGATTTGATGAAATAAAACTACTATAGGAGAAAAACACTGAAAAATAAAACATTATTATCTACCAATAACGCATAAAACATTCTAATCCACTAAAAAGTTTTTTAATTAAAATCGCACATACCTTCCTCCAATGGCTTGAACGAGTTACAGAAAAATGAAGCAATACACTACTAAAAAAATCTAATAATAATAACAACTACAGAAAAGGAGAAACCGGATTCGTAAACTTTAAAAAGAGAGAACGACGGTGATTATTGATTAAAAAATTGGATATGTTATCGGTGAGGTGGTGACAAAACGAATTGTATAACGATTTCCACAAAAATTGTTGTAGTATCGCGACTACAGTTGAAGAAGAACCCGCAAAATGACAACGAGCGGTGGGCAAGTCTTGCGCATCAAGAAAACACGCAAATACGATGACAATCGGAACCTCAGAACTTGCGGAGGTCGGATTGTTGGAGAAACGATGATAACCTGTTTTTTTTTAAGGACAGCAAGTTTGTTCACGATTACGACGACCGCAGTTTAACCATTTGGGGACGCGTTAAAATTCCCTGCGATGACTACGTGTCCCGTCCCGGAGATATGTCCGATGCGTCAAAACTTCGCAGTAACAACTTACTATAATAATTTATAGTAACAGCTGCAGTAATAGCCAATGGGTATTTATACATTTTTTTGATTGGTACTCGGTACGACGACATAATATTGAGTACTGGCAGTACGAGACTTACCTACGTATGATACGGTTACCTAATACCAGTTATACCTATACTATGAATATTTAATATATACAATAGCAGATAATGATACAAATCGGATTAAATAATATCGAATAGTGTAATTTTATTATTTTACAAAAATATGAAAAACATTTCCAAAACTTATTTACGATTTGAAACGGTGTTCATAAAAATCTTATCTCTTACTTTTCTTAAAAGAACTAAATAAATTAAAAATATTTTCAAGCAATTTTCTCATTTTTCAAATTTTCTTTTCTTCATCGAAGCAAACTCGACAATTACAGCAGATAAGATAATAGGTACTATGCAATAAATACCTATATAATATACCATATTAAATTATTGAATTATTTCAAATAGTATTTGAGCCTTACTAATTTACTATACTACGTACTATGTGACTATCTCTTCATTTTAGATTATTCATTCTGAGCGAAGTAATGCATATGATGATTTTACAATGATGTGTATTTTTTGTGTCCTGCATTGCTTTTTTATTTTTGGGGTAGTAACATTTTTTGGACATTACAGCAACCTTTTTTAGTAGGAAAGCGAATCTAGTTCGTGATTTTTTGGGGTAAAAATTAGAAATTCTCATTAATTGTTTGGAATAATCCACACTTCAGCTCATATACACAAAATATGCATATATCAGAGTATATCAGCATATATCCGTAACTATACGTAATTATTGTTTATTGTTTAATGATTCATGAATATTTCTTATAAGTTTCAAACTTGTATTTAGTCTACAATAATCATTTGTCGGGTTTTTGATTTCACCGTTTTCGTGAAATTGACTTAAGAGTTAAGAGGACGCTACACTCGCATGTGTTGTCTGGTTGTCTCCATAGACCTTTAGGTACTATTATACAAGCAATGAGTGCATAGAAAGCGAACAACAAAGAGGGCGCTTTTTTATTTCTCGATTACTCGTACGCACGACCAGTGAGGGGTAGCAGGGTAAGATATATATATATAGATTATTGTATTTTTTCTTAAAGACAGCCTATATCACTGCAAGCTGTTAATTGTTAAACATCACAGTCCTTGCCTAGTAGAAAGTAGTAAAAAGGTATAATGGTTGTCTCCGACTTACAAATATACAACATATCAAAAACTGTTTTGAGCGGGAAAGAACCGAGTAGGCTACAGTCATAAGTCATAACTTATAACTAAGAAACGAAATGTTTATCACATAAAGAGAAGAACTTTGGCTGTGAAATATTGTTTTTATTTTTTCGATATTGGAACTACAAAAAAGTTATCTAAGTCTGAAAAACACAAAAATAATGGATTTTAAAACAATAAGAACTTTTTCCGTACAGGTGATATCAAAATAATGAAAATGATATTTCAGAGATAATATTCTCAACTATATTGTGTATCAATTTGGAGTCTTAGCTATCATTACAGACTACAGCCCGAGTGGTCCTAACCCGCCCAAAACAGTTTTTGCTATGTTGTACAATTTACATTTGTAAGACAGGTACAAGACTTGCGGGTGTAGCGTTCTTTCATAAAATAATAATATATCACTGTATAACATAATTTTCCGCCACTGCACCACCCGAGTTCACCGAGAGCCGGTCTTATACTAATAGAAGGTCTATAGTGATAGTTGTAGTTATACAACTAGCCATTGTTTCTATGTCTTGTATAACAAATAAAAATATAAAATCTGCAATATAGATGTATGTATCTTAACTATTATATTGTTTTTGGATCGTTTCGAATGTTTCGATACAGGACATTATAGGCAGTAGGCCTACTACTTACTCAGTGGGTGAATTATTTCATTACTGAGGGTCCAACTAGTTTAGAATGGGTGTTCAATTGTTCATTTGGACGCAGAAAACTTAAGACAACATCTTAAATTCAAATTTTTAACAAGCATAATTAAAAAATGACCTAATAGGATATTCAATAGTAATTTTCAGGGTTAGTGTATGTTTAAAACGTGTTTTTAAGTCTCAAACGTTGAAACGAGTTTTTATTTCGATCATTCTTGTTAGTTATTTCCAACCAAACCTATTGAGTATCAGTTATTAATTTATTACATACTATATAGATAGAGTATTATTATTTACAATACATATTATGTACAAATAATTTATATACTTTTTTGACCACCATAATATTATGATTTATAATATTTATGGGTAACACTAAAACAGGACATATTGGTATTGGAAAAAAAGAAAAATGGAGAACCCATAGCTAGTTATAGGAAATTACTGCCAAATGCCCTTGTAGTCAGGTTATAAGGTAGTGGCGGGAAAATAAATATGCACCAAGTGATCAAAATGTATGTCAATAAATAATTTACTATACAGCAAGCAAAAAATAAATAGTAAATGAGGTGACTTGTAGGAAAATTAGAAGAAATTAAAAACACAATATACTTCACAATACTTACTCGCCTGCACTAGCTGTAGACCTAAAGTATATTTAATACGTGTATGTTCACTATATGCTGTAATACAATATGTCAATATTATTAACATACGACATACCTATAACCTATGTAGAATATTACAACCTAGTAAGTAGTAACCCACTACCATTTAGGTACTAATACCTAATTAATTTAAAACTTAATCATAAACGGTCTGATGGATGCACATTAAATTTCGACTTGTTTAATTTGACACATTCAAGTAGATATTATTATCATTAACTTTATAAAACGATAATACTGAAAAATTCCGCGTTCATCATAACGTTTATCTTTATTGCTTCTGCCTGTTTGTAACGTTAAATGTTTATCATAATCATCATAATATATTATTATATTAATATGACATAATATAGATACATGATAATATGATACATATTATACAATGTGACCCGTGAAGAAGTGGTTGGCATCATATTATGATGGTGTACCTAGAAGTTTAGAAAAAAAAACCCTTTAAAGTGTTTGTTTAAAATTTTTATTTTTTTTTTGTTATGACTTCATAATCAATTCAACTAATTTTTAACAAAACCGAACCTACCACACATTTACTGATGTATCTTCAAAACTTTTCAGCTTTTCGTCATTTACTTTTTATTTTAAAGCTTTTTTAGTATGTTATCAACTAACCATCAAACCAAAAATGTACAAATTATCATTATTGAATTAGATAACCTTAAACATATCGTTTTCCTATCCTATACATGTTATTTCTTAGTGACTACATCATGCCTTATCTAAGCTCGTTGTCTAGTAATTATTGTCCATTGATAATTACCATCACGAATGTCATGTCACGTTAAGGTTTACCAGTGTCTAGTAGTGTACTAGTATCACTCGGAAATTGTGAAAGGTATGAAACATTTTTTTAGTATTCTAGGTATTATTCTGTAGAATAATAAAATTAAAATAAAAACTGTAGTAATTACAGCGTTATTTGGAGTTGATTTCTTTTTAAAAATGTTAATTTTTGTCAACTTTTTTTAAAAAATTTAATTTAAAATATAGTATCAATTATTATCATGTTATGACGCCGGTCGGTTACTTCTTCACGGGGCATATTGTATAATGTATATGCACAATATTTGAATTTTATCAAATTTACGGATTTATACGAGCATCAAAAATCGGGAACCCATAATCTAGTGTACCTAGTGCTTATTACCTAAGATAGTTAGGACCCAAAAAGTATAAAAATTTAATTTTGGGATCTATTTTTCCGGATGTAGTATTATGCAGGTATTATAGGCAATTCACTAATACACTATTATTCTACTATATTTAGTGTATCGGACTAATTACTAATGAATTATATTTTACTAAATTGTCTGTATCGTCTATTCGTCTATAGGTTCGGTGCACACGTCTGTTGTAGCCCCTGCGGCGCCGAAAGTGGCTGAATGCAAATAATGTGTGCACCTCACCGATGCAACGTCACCGCAAGAGATGTGCACTGCACAATTAAACAATTTGATCACATATTAATATATTATCCAGGTACGTCATATTTGCAATGCCACAGAGGCAAAACTTTGCCTTGGAAAGATTAACTGAATTTATTTTTATTTTTTTCGTAGAATCTTATCATGGTTCTTTTCAATTGAAAATTTGATAATATTTGTTTTTTATTACACATAATATATTTACAATTTACATGATAAAAATAATAGACAAATGAAACCATTGTAATAAAAAATTCAACAATTCTAATAAAATTATGTTTTTAATATTAGTTAAAGTAAAATGAATTTTTTATCATGCAGTATTCTACGAATTACAATTAATACCGATATGAAATATTAAAACGTGTTTAAGAAATATAGTGAAAATTATCAGAGCGAACCCGAAGCCCGAAGCATACTTATTTTATCAGTGAGCGTTTAAAACTGTATTGAACAATTATTCAATTTTTTAATCTTATAATTCTTCTTCAATGCTATTCATTCACCATTGGCGCTGAACCATATGTTTAGGTCAGTTCACGGAATGAAAATTTGTTTTAAACATGTTAACAAGGACCAAACGGATATATGGTTTGTATTTCATACCAGAATATGTATGATTATTGATTAGCTAAGGTACTTAGTGAAAATAAAGGACAAATTTCTACTTATTCATACGTGGTTTAAACTTATAAGAAAATATTATGCATACTATATAATTATTCATATATCATATATACATGTAACTACTGATGTACTTTGTATTTTGTTTACTTTACTCAAATTAAACTACGTGTAATAAATAGTTACACCTTGTTATCAATTGCATTATCAATATTTTCGTTGAAAGTTATTCAAATTAAACTTTCGCGTATTGCTTAGAATTACGAAGTAAAAACATAAGCTGGTGGCCGCATGAAACGCTTGGGGCCGTTTTATTTTCATTTGGTCTGAGATATTTTTTAGAAATTAGGTACCACTGAATTACTACCTACATTTGATATTGAAGTATTGAACCATTTTAACCCCATACAAATCGTTACTTAATAGTTCCTTGCACTTAAAGCATATTTAATTTTCTTTGAATTGTATTAAATATTTAACAGTGGCTTGGTCAACTTTTTATTATTGTAACGGATAGACAATATCTTATTTAATTATATTGATTCCTAGTTTCAATGAATAAACGCAATTAAAAATAATGCACTTATTGATATGCATATTTTATTATTTTAGAAGTAACAAATTAGGTCTGTAAGTAACTTAGGATAATTTTTATCCTAACAATTATTAAAATTATTTGTACACAATATTATAAAAAAATGCTTTTCACCTATAGTATTTAATTTAAAAGAACAGGTTAAACATTTAAATATCTAAAAAATAATTTGAAAATATAATTCTCATGATAAAAAAAAAAACTACAAAAGTATAGAGCACAAAAGCATATTGGTTGAGTTTAAAATTTAAATAATATAGTATTTCTTTGTCGGCGGACTAGCTGAGGAAATGAGGAATAAAAGATTACAACTACTATGAGTTATGGTAATTAGTTGGTATCAAAAACTTTAGTCGGTATTAACATAGAACATAATATTTTTAATGATTATGGTAGGTAAACGACGGTCTTATAGAAGATATTTTAAGACGATATTGTAACAATCTGACTACGTTCGTTTGATGGTGCTGAGAATAAATGAACAAGAGTTTATTTTTTACTTTATAAATTGAATACTTTTTATTTAATTAATACAAAACACAATAAATTTACTAAGTCCAAATTGACTATTTTAAATAATGAAGACTAGCGAGATGTGACTGTCATATCCTAGCTCCTAGCTTGTCGTTGGTGTTGGTCCGTCTAGCTCGGTGTTGTTGGTCCGTCTGCCGAAGCTTATTCGAGCGACGTATTTTATAATGGTGATTCTTGGATCGTATCCCTGCCTATTATCCTACTACTTTACCATATAAGGTCATACCATGGGCGGCCACGCGCTGCACACGCCGGATGTCCCTTGCTTATCTGGTCGTTGTCATCTCTATTGAGGCAACACAACACTTTTAATGTGAACTATTTAATAATATTACTATAAAGTATAAGTAGTGATATATTTACGAACATATACGTTTCGAGGTCACGCGCAATAGATGCGTCGTAGGCCTCCTTCAGCATATCGTGTTTCTTCTGTATATTTAGAACTACTGGAGGGATTTACTGGAATGATTATTTATAATATGTAAAACATAGTCACAGCTCGCTACACCTCCCCACTAAAAAAAAGGTTTTGTAGGGCTACTTTTTGTAGAACTACAAAATCTTAAAAATTATTGTTTATATAACGGTTAATAATTTGTCCTTATAGTGACAATTACATGAATAAGTATATACATTCTTTTTTTTTTTTTGACTATTGTTATATTAAAGTTGAACAACCGTTAAACAAACGGTATAAAAAATGTAAGTGAATATGCAAAATAAAGCAAGTAAATATAGTTAAATGTTGCGTCAAACCAACATAAGGTTGAGTAAAACATAATGTGCAACTCATAACCTTGATAAAAGATATAATATAACGATATATAAATCAAAACAGTATCGTTAGTGGTATCAAAACCACTTTCGATAATATTTAAAATTAATATCAAAACAGTAATCTGACAAACATGTCAGACAAGAACGATACACTAATGTCCAAAACGGTATCGTCAATGGTATCATGCCTTTACAAAACCAGAAAGATACCAAGAAAACGGGGGTTTTTTTTTTTTTAACGAGTGTTGCCACTCTTGCAGCAGTAACACACGTACATTTTCTTTATTTGATAAATACCATACCCGCATTTATCAACTGCTTTCTCGCGATCGTTCCAACACTGATCACCGCATCCCATATCGATCTGTGCGATATCTTTTATTGTCTCTCCTAGTCCTTTAAACGGATTGATACTAATTGCCATAACTGATGGAGTTGTCATGGTTGATAAAATGGAAAATAAAACCATAAATATATATATCACCTTCATTACGAATTGATGTAAATTTAAAAAAAAAAATAAATATAAATATAACGATGTTGTCACCGGATTCTGTTGCGGAGTTGTTGATAGTTGATCAGACTTCCAACGATGATTCAATTTGATTGAATTGCCTCCTCGAATTAATTTGGTTAGAATATTTTGAAATAATTCAAAAAATATTCGTTTCCAAAAATTTTTTTCTTTTGAAAACCCTGTCCACAGCGCCAATTGTAATAATCTGACTACGTTCGTTTGATGGTGTTGGTCCGTCTAGCTCGGTGGTGTTAGTCCGTCTAGCTCGGTGTTGTTGGTCCGTCTGCCGAAGCTTATTCGAGCGACGTATTTTATAATGGTGATTCTTGGATCGTATCCCTGCCTATTATCCTACTACTTTACCATATAAGGTCATACCGTGGGCGGCCACGCGCTGCACACGCCGGATGTCCCTTGCTTATCTGGTCGTTGTCATCTCTATTGAGGCAACACAACACTTTTAATGTGAACTATTTTAATAATATTCATATAAGTAGTGATATATTTACGAACATATACTTNATATAAGTAGTGATATATTTACGAACATATACTTTTCGAGGTCACGCGCAATAGATGCGTCGTAGGCCTCCTTCAGCATATCGTGTTTCTTCTGTATATTTAGAACTATACTCCGGCCCACGAGAGAACGACCGTAAAAACTCGTCCGACGCTGCGCATCGATTCCCCTTCCATATACCGATCGGAAGCCGGTCGGCAACGATCGCCGACAGGCATCGTTGACATTCGTTTATACGTAGCGATAGCAGTAGCAACGATTTTTCAATTTTTGTTTTTGAACCGCCGTTTATGTTTTACCGATTTTTTTTTGCGATTACATTTATTTTGTATTTAAAATGGACAATCTCATTCAAATGACACCCACAAAAAGGAATCGGAGAGGAAAGGTAAGCATTTTCATATATCTTTATATTATGCAATAGCTATTTACTAGGCTTTAAAAAACACGTTAAAAAAAAAGAAAAAAAACGATTAAGACGTTTATACCGTTAAAAGCAGCTTTTTTTTTATGTTTTTTAAAGATAGTTTTTTTTATGTGTATAAACGTGTTTTGTTTTGTTAAAATATGTTTTTTGTTTTGTTAAAGCCTTGTTTTTTGGTAAGGTTAGGTTAAAAAACGTTACAACTTTACATATTTTATTTTAAAAAACGTTACGACTTAATATATTTTATTTTAAAAATCAATAAAGGTTTCAGGAGTAAAAATATTGTTTAAAACGCACGTTTATTATTTATGTTTTAAACGTTTTAAATAAATCATTTTTTTCCGTCGTGAAAATATCTAGTTTAACTTCAGAGTAAAATAGTAAATGCGTTTATAATAATAATTTAATATAATTATAAAAGTAAAAAATCGAATAAAAATTACATTTCACAATATTTTTTACTTAGGTTGTTCATTCTGGCCAGAAACAAATCGTCATAAATATATACAAAGATCTGTTGAAAACAGAACCTGATATAAAATATAATAATTTATTGAACAAAATATCTACAAGAAGTGGTATTGGAATCGGAACAATTAAAAGGACTATCAGAGAATATAAGTCTACTGGCACACTATCTTCACCAGTTAATAAAAAGAACAGACCAACTGTAGTTGATAAAGTGGATGATTTCGACAAAATGCAATTCGTCAAAACATCCACGCATTCTGGTTCAGACGAGAAATTCCAACTTTACCGAAAATGTTACAAGTGATAAACGATGACCCTGATCTTCCTAGTTTTTCACGTACTTCACTTCAAAGGTTGTTGAAGGACTTGCAATTCGAATACACCAAAAGAAATAGAAACAGTGCTCTTACTAAAAGAGAGGATCTTGTTTTATGGAGACGGAAATATATTGCTGACATACGACGTTATCGCAAGGAAGGAAAAACAATTTATTTTTTGGACGAGACGTGGGTCAACGCCGGAGATTGTTCATCAAGAGTGTGGGTCGACAAAACTGTGAAATCACACAGAGATGCGTTTAACAGAGGCTTAACTACCGGGTCACAGAATCCTACTGGAAGAGGCAAGCGGCTCATTGTTGTTCACATTGGGTCGACCGAGGGTTTCGTCGCAGGTGGTCTTTTGTGTTTTGAATCCAAAAAAAACACATCAGACTACCACGACGAAATGAACGGCGATACATTTTTCGAATGGTTCTGTAGCGTTTTACCTTTATTAAAAGACGACTCGGTTATAGTGATGGATAACGCACCGTACCATTCGGTGAAAAAAGATCACCTACCGACCCCCTCGTGGACGAAGGCAGCAATTATTGAATGGATCGAGTCAAAAGGCGTCAATATCACCGAACCCTTGGTGAAGTTTGAACTACTTCAAAAAGTGCGACAGATCAAACATCAATACGACTTGTTTATTGTTGACGAAGAGGCGAAAAAACACAATCAAATTGTATTGCGTTTACCACCGTACCATTGCGAACTTAATCCAATTGAGTTGGCATGGTTGGTGGTAAAAGGACATGTCAAAAAAAATAACACGACATATAAATTGAACGACGTTCGTCAATTATTAAACGACGGTATAAAAAAGGTGACACCTGAAATGTGGTCCAATTTTGTGTCACATACGATTAAAGAAGAGGATCAATTTTGGCAGTTGGACTTCATTTCTGATGAGATGTTGGAAGAAACACAGGCATTGACATCGCACGTGTTAACTATAACCGGAGAGACGACTTCTGATTCAGAAAACAGTGATTGAAATTTTTTTATATTTGTACATAATCATGCCTATCCCTAATACTCTTTAATATAGCTTTAGAAATGGTAGTTAGAAAAACTCAAAAAAAATATGGTGGGGTAAACTTGGAAGAGAACAGAAGACAATGCGGAGTACTAGCGTACGCAGATGATATTATCATATTGGGATCAGACAGTCAAGAAGTCAAAGCAGGAACCAAAGAACTAATAATAAACAGCAAAGACATTGGATTACAAATAAACGAAGGGAAAACCAAATATATGGTAATATCTAGGCTAGAAAATCACGAGGAAAATTTAGAAGTTGAGAATTATAAATTTGAAAGAGTGCAAAATTTTAAATACCTGGGTGTTACAATAAATAGCAAAAATAATAATCACGATGAAATTAAAATAAGACTAACTGCAGCAAATAAATGCTATTACGGAGTAACGAGTATACTAAAATCAAAACAGGTATCACTCAAATCAAAAATTAAAATATACAAGGTAATTATCAGACCAGTCCTTCTATATGCGTGTGAAACATGGCCAAAGACTAAAGGAGACGAAGAAAAATTAGCAAAACTCGAAAGAAGAATATTAAGAAGAATATTTGGGCCAAAAATAAATAACATAACACAACAATATGAGAAAAGAAACAATATAGAAATACAACAGTTATATAAAGAGCCAGACATAGTAGCAGTATTAAAAAATAAGAGAATGGCATGGG